ACAAACTCCCCAACTGACCCCAACTGCCTCAATGACATTCATGCCAACCTGTTGGTCTACTCGTTCGAATTCAACCCCCTCTGTATCCCCATCCAACCTAACCCCTGCACCCGACTTCCCTACAACAGTGCAAGCAGTGAGTCTGCTTGTTCTCAGATTGCACCAAATGTTTGAGACTAAACATGCCATGTTCTCCCAATTAGAATTATCCCATCTCTTCCTCCACCTTTGCTCGTTGTGGCTCCGGCCATTTACCCAAACGCCCAAGGTCACTAATGTCCAGCAATGGTTTCCCACTTTTAGTTCGTGTCAGCCGACTGAGTCCTTGAATTAGTCGGATCTCATGCCCGCTGTTCCCTACAAGTTGCGAAAGAAACCCAATATTATTATTTCCTCGAATACTTCACACTGTATGACATTGTCCTCTTTTCGCGGAATCCCCACTGCCCGCAAATCACCCAATCACGCCCCATTCTGATTGTGAACGCGTGATCATACCAGACGGTATGCCACCAACAAGTTGGAGATAAACATTATTATTACCGCTCCCGCACCATTTGCGATGCACTGTGGATCCAAACCCCGCTGCGTTGGTCTGATGTCCTTCTTCTCGATGTGATCTACAGCAGCCCCTCAAGACCCCTCTTACGGACCACTGAGCGACTTTCCCCTAGCTACCACTCATTTCCTACTGGTAAGTGACCACAAAGACCTCCTGGATGGAGCGCATAACCGTCGGGTCCTACGGAAATTTTTCAAATAGGCTGACCGAATTCGTTCAACAGAGCGCTTGGACACAATGTGTCGCTGCGCCCACCAGATACGGAGCCCATTAGCCGCACAATGCACTTAGCTGCAAAACCTTTACGAGTGGAGGAAAACTTTTTGCGCCAAAATGTTGCGTTTTGTTGCGCATGTGGTCAAACCAAAAACCACCTCAATCTACGCTCATATTTTTGCAGCTCAGCAAATTTCGTTGTCCGCCGGAGCAATCATACCTGTGGCGGAAAAGTCTAGTGGAATAATTTCCCAGCAGCTCTGAGACCCCGTTTCGCCTGAATGGGGATTAAAAGTTTATACTGCTACTCTCAACTCAGCCGCCTAGTTAAGTTAGTTCACCAGAGACTCCATCGCATTCGAACACCACCTAATACCGCTCAAGCCAACTACCATCCCTTCTGGATTTGGTGATCACTAGCAAAGGACACCTCCATGATCAAGTATTAATTACCTCCACTGAGAACAATGACCACGGCGTGCTTACCTTTGATTTCATCTGCTATTAGGCCGGAAATCCCGAAACTCAAACGTGGATTCCAAACTTCTACCATGCAGACTTCTCAGGAATGCTCATCTTTCTTGAACAAGTTAAAGTGACGCTAGCTTCAGTGGGAGACCTTGATATGTCCATTGTCCAGAAAGTTCACGAGGCTGATGCGATATTCCTACAAAAGAAACCAGCAGGCACTCTGATGAGCTGCGGGTTGCCAAAAAGGATTCGGCGTCTTCTGGAAAAGACGTCCTAACTTTTCCCAAAGAGTTAAATACTGGAGGGACAGAAGATGAGCTGGCATTTCGTAAAACGCGGGACCGCTTTAAATTAGAAATCCGCCAATGGAATACAAGGAAACAAGCCACCATTCTGTATCTCGCTTGGAAAAACAAAAACGTATTGTTCAAATGCATGAGACACCGCCGTAGAAACAATCCATCCGTGTTCTCCTTGAGGGAAAGGAACGGAGAACCCACGAGTGAACCAACAGTGGTATTTGAGGTTTACAGAGAACACTATACAGGTGCATATCAGCCCCAGCTTCCTCCTTACATCCATTCTTGTCAACTACGCACAGTCCCTAACCGAACTGGGCCTCACGGTGGAGGACATTCATCAAGTGTTGCACAAGATCCACCCATTCTGCGCGTTGGGGCCCAGCGAAGTCCACCTCAGGATCCTGAAAGAAGCGTCATCCACACTGGCATATCATTTATACCTGTTGCTTGGTCAGTCGCCCGACGAGGGCCGCCTTCCCTCTACTTAGAATGAGGCGATTGTCACACGAATGTACAAACCTTGTGACCGACTATCACCTGGAAGCTTCAGGCCTATAGGCCTCACTAGTGTGCCACTCAAGGCGATGAACGCTATCTAGATCAACCCTAATTCGAGCGACTGGATATCTCCTGCGGAACACGGGCCAAACCGTTCTTGCGTGACAAACATGCCGGTGTTTATGGGCAGCTCAAACCAGGCCAGGGACGAGAGACTCGCATTGGACGCTGCCTTCTTCGACTTTTCAAAGGCATTTGATAGAGTCCCACATGTCCCGCTGCTCCGCTAACTCAGCTCTCACGGGATTCGAGGGAAAATCCTTCACTGGATGAGGGCGTTCCTATCAGGCAGATCACTTTGAGTGAGAGTAGGCTTGACCTACTCTTCTCCAGCACCGGTCTCCATTGGAGTTCCTCAAGGCTCCGTTCTGGGACCACTGCTTTTTCGGATCTACTTCGACGACCTTCCAAATGTTCTTTCAAATCCATCTCTACCCTTCGCGGATGACTCGAAATCCTGGGGTTCCAATGCCAGCGCCATCCAAATAGATGTAGACGCTGCAAAGCATTGATCGTTGGACCGGCACTTTCCTATGAATTACGAAAAGTGTGTCCATATACCGTTTGGAGGCTCAGCGAATTCATTTGTCATGTATGGTGAGAAAGAATAAGAAAACATCGTGAGGATAAACAGGAAAAAGGATTTGGTTATCGGGATCTTCGAAACGTGCCCTTCTCACTGCACCATGAGAAATCGGCGCGAAAGGCATTCGCCATTTTGCGGATGATTTAGTGCACCTTCTCCAGTATAAATTCCATAGACTTCCGAATACTCTATGGGGCCTACGTCGGACCGCTCGCTGTACGCCAACCGAATTGTCCACTCAGGACGCACGAAAGGTGTCACACTCATTGAGCGTCTCCGGCGAGCCATTACGAAAATGGTTGCCGGCCTCAAATCCGTGGACTGCGAGACGCGCCTCACGGTGCCTGACCTCTCACCAGGAGTATCGTCGTCTCCAAGGAGGCCTGATTCTTACTTCTGCGCTGCTTGAACAAAGCTTGGCGGGCAGGTTTGTCACCGTTGACCCAACAAGCAGAAGGAAGGGACATGGTGAGAAGATTTTCAAGATCAGAGCGCAGACATTCATCAGACACATTTTTTCTCATTTCCGGTAGTAGCTGCGTGAAAGTTCCTTCCTCCGATGGCTGTCCACGCTCCTTCTAGAACACAGTTCAAAGCCCCATTAGGCACGTTTTCATGCCGACCCTCGCGCTGCCAAGCATACTACCCGGCGCTGAGAAAACTTTCATCGAAAAGAGAAAGAAGAAAAACTGTTTAAGTATCAGTGTCCGGTTTTATCAAACTGCAAGTCCTTCACTTCGGATAAGTGTGCTTAAAGCCCTTCCCCCGACGGTTACCGTGCATCTGAGATCCATTTCGAATCGAGTTTAGATAATTCCAATGAGCTCCCAAACTGGAATCAACCCACCTGGTGCCAAGGGCCCAAATGGTGGTGCTATATTCGTCTTCGCTTCTGCATTTCAGATAAAAGCAAGCCCTTTGACGACGGGGACGTTTCCTACCAGGAGATCTTTATCCTGTGCATCACATTGCGACCGGATGAGGCAGCACAAGGAATGTCCATGCATGGTCACTGTTGGATTCCCTACTTCACAGTATGACGAAAATTTCACATTTGTCGGTTTGAATCCGGCCCGATCGTCAAAAATAAACACCCGCCGTAGAAAAATTGATGGGAACCTTGATTACGTGCAATACTAATCAGGAGGCATGGCGACAGGTTTTGCAAGCTCGGGGTCGCAATTTTACCAGGCAGATTTTTATCATTTCGTGTATTTGTCTCGTGTAATTACCCTCCTCTGACGGTTGCCCGCGCTCTATCCAGTACCCAGTTCGAAACAGTATTAGACGTTTTATGCGACTCTTCGCGCTGGCAAGTTCACTGTTCCGCGCTGAGAACATAATGAGCAGTGGTCCACCCTTTTTCGTTTGTGCCTTTCAATTGAACGGCAGCCGATGAGCAAGAAGAACAGAATCCGACCAAGGTAACTTTGGGCGAAAGCCTGGATCCTGTGTATCGATCCGTGAACCCGTATGAGATGAGGCCTCAAAACGAAAAATCCCAGACTATTTAGTTGAATGCCTAAGGCAGCTGACAAGTGAGGCACTGGGAAATGTGACGTTTTGCCACCAAAATTATGATGAGAACAAAAGCACTCAGGTTCATGCGGTGTAAGGATAACATTTACTCAGAGAGCAGGAACGCGAATATGCCTTTCGTCATCCATCTGAGCTTTGAGACCAGTAATTCTCTATTGGAAAACATGGTGAACATGGAGAAGGTGCAATCATCCCTGTCGATTAACTTGAGACATTCGTCACTTGAGACCGTATTCGGGAGTGTTGTTGGTATGATCTTGTGGACCCAGTGAAATGGCCGTTGTGAAGCTCCTCGCGCTGGCAAGCATTCCACCCCGCGCTGAGAACATAAAGAGCGGTGCTACACCCTTTTTTCACTTGTGTCTCTCAGGTGAACGACAGCCACTGACTGACAAGAACAAAATCGACCCGGGAAACGTGGGCAAATGCTTCGATCCGATGTATCAGTCCGTGAATCTGTGAAGCAGTTCATATCTATGACTGTTCCGCTTTATCTGGGGCTTCCGGCAGGCAGTTTCCTGAGGGCACGCAGTTTGTCAACCGCAAAAAGAAGAAATACATGTACGGCATGTCGTATTTATAGTGCATGTAGAAATAATTTTTCGGAACTTCGAACACCTGAATGCGGTGCTGGCAACCGGAATTCAGCGGATACTGAAACATGATTGGCTGTTGGGTCAAGCAATCACAGCTCGGCTTCACACTGGACCACCCAGTTGCTCGGCCTTTCGGTCGACCACATTCTGTTATGGCATCAAGCGAAGTGCCGAGACGGTCTGCCTCTGCGACTCCGTGAAAAAGCTGGGGGAGACAAAAATGGTTAGGTAAACTTTCAAGCAAACTTTTCTGTGATTTGTTGGCCAAGGGACCTGATAACATGCATCCACTGCTTGTGTCTATTAACGGACGAGCTTATAAATGAACGATTGAAATCAGCCTCTGCTGCAGTCATCATCAACGCCTGGCAGTTGTATTGTGACAATTCTATGTTCATTCCTGGTTAGAACACGCGATGAGCGGTTTGGAGGTACTCTAGCGGAAAGTAGTGTCAATGGGAAACGGACGACAAACAATTAGCAGTTATACCTGCTGACCGTTCAACGCATTTTCTGCTTAGCCGTGGAACTAAACTACTCGTTAGGAGTGACTCTAAAGACTACCAATCGGCTAGACTACTCTCGTCTGAACGACGCCAGTCTTTCCGATCCAGCTGACCACAATCCAGTCACCCCGCTGGCGCTCTCCACATTGCTGGAATCCATTGTGGTAGGTCTTTTGTGAGCCTCTCCGGGCTGACAAATACTGTCACCGTTGTAGCGCGAATGTGAGTACAAAAGACTCTACCCCACAAACCCCCTGATTACGAGAGGGCAGAACCAAATACCCGGACGCTTGAATTGAGGTGGACGTCATCTGGACGTAAGACCTTTGCTGTGGTATGATACAACGTCATGCTGGCTAAACTAGTCGCCTGAGCGGTACACGATACTACTGCGTTTAATAGGTAACTATCTAAGCCAACGAAAAATGAGTCAGAGTGAGTGGAATAATGTCGGACCCGAAGCTCATCCACTGCGGCATACCACAATTGTGGTATGTGGTTCAGTGATGAGTCTACTGCCGATCCTCACTTTTATAGTTTGCTCGGTCGGATCGTCAGCCACAAACCATGCGCGGCATTTCGGTGGATGCACCAGCTACAGCTTCGTTCAAAGAAGACAAAGAGAATAAGTGACTGAAAGCCCATCTTTGGGATGTGATGACCAAGTAACTTTGTTGACGCCTTATGGCTGCCTTTTTGGTACGGTATGGTATGGTGGGAGGTGAGATAGCTTTAATGCTGGGCCTCCATTGACTGTGTGAGATTATCACTATTACCACAACTTTCGGCTTTTCATTTTTCGTGAATTACGAGGTGTTCAAAAGTAGCAGTTTAATGTAACGTTATGTTGGTTTGTGTGCATCGCAACAGTGTTTTCAAGTTTTGCTCCAGTTGCACTCAATATTTGCCTGGGGTTTAAGTTTTTGCATCACGTAATCTCCGGTGTCTTACACGTATTCCACGTGAACGAGATGTCAAAGATATGAACACAGATCAGGGACATCTAAAGCGCCGTTCAGTGGCGATGTATAAGCACACAATCGTAACACAGGTGTTTATCGGGTCGATACAGTTAGTATGAGGGAACATAACAATAAATTCTTCTTGAGGTTGTGGTAATAGCAATGGTAACCAATCGTCACCAAAAGGTGACTATCAACACGACTGAGTTGATCGGTAAGGGCTTTCAAGCTTCGCTGCCAGTACATGGACTTACTCCCTAGTTAGTCTTAATCCGACCCATTGTTGGGTGACTAGGACTCTGACATACCAAACACATGGTCCAACTGCTGTAACCTATGGTTTGTGACGAGTTAGCCACGCTAGATACCACCCTGTCAACACCATGCAGCCTACCTGTTGACTACATTAATATCTGGAGGGGCATCCGGTCGACTCAGGATCACGTACTTCAATGAGAATAGGTGGTCCTTCAGTACTCTGTAGGCTGAAGCATGCCTCACTTCCTTTCAAGTGCTTAGCCCCTCTAAATTATTTTCTTAGGCATCACTTGGGAACTGTTTCCTCATAGTAAGGCCTGATAATCATCATTCAACCTAGGCAATTCTGCTCAGTGGCCTAAAGCTGCGTGCATGGCGAACAGGCAGCGGAGACTCCACCGCACCTAAGGACTTTTTGACGCTTTGCTCATCACCCAATACCAGATATCGTGTAGTGTACACCGTTTAATTGTGGTAAAACTCGAACAAACGCTGCGGATGGCTGGTAAGCTCTTCCGAGGGCTACACAACCTTACCTACGTCACGCGATTCGCCACCTTGGATCTGCATTCCACTATCGTCATATCATCAATAGAGATAGAATCAGTACTGCCACTGATTCTTCACTGTCATACAACCACAGAATTTGTTTAATTATATTTAAAGCTCCAAAGTTTAAGAAAACAAAAGGTTGGATTAGGGAGGGGCCCCATGCCTGCCTTTTGCAAGTATTTTGAGTCGCTTATATCCCCAAGCGTTCAATCAGACAATTTTGATAGAATCTAGCCAAGCTCAGGGGTTAGTCACTCGGACTCCATCCCGGAAGGCGGACGGGTTATCAGACTACGTCATACACTTCATACCCTTATCACCAACCACTCATAACACCTGCTGCTACCATTAGATCAATCAACGAACCTCCGTGATCACAACCTAAAGTTAGAACATCGACACAGCCTCCCCGACTGCCGCAGGGTGCTCTCAGTATCCTCACCAGCCCCCTCTGATGGCCATTCAATTTGGGAATCGTCCCGCCCTGTAATTGGACCCACTATCATTCCAGCTAATCAAGGGCCTGAGGATAAACTCGTCGCATAAATTCGGCCACTGTAAATTAGCTGTTTTTTGTTTTTGTTGCCAGATGCCCAAACTGAAGAAAGGAGGTTGAGGTATTCAGTGGTTGAGGCACGAACTTACTGACCCGAGGTTCCGTGCTTGGGACTCAACCTCGGTTTAGATTTGGGCAACCTGGCAGTATCTCAGCCCTGATACTTCCTTCAGGTAGCTATGCGCTGAAATGTTGTTACAGCTGAACGACTATCCAGTTGTTTTATTTAAGCCGAACAAACACTATCTTTGGAGAAGCTTCCCTTCCTAGTTTGATCACTAAATCCCGCGCACAAGGCGGAGGATCGAATTCTGCAGGTCACAATCTATCAGAATCGGGTACCCGTCTGTAGTTTATACGTTCTTCTGCTGGAGGCCAATCATCTCAGTTGATAACCCCGTCCTCTATAGTATGCCATTTGGGCTCAGTGACGCAAATCCGGTATGTCAGGCGTTGCCACACGTCATATGGAGGCCTCATTTATTGCGAGGCGAATATTGACCCCGGATTGCTACCTGATGCTGCCGATTTGGTGTATCGGCGTGGAACCCGACGTGCTGTTGGTTGCATTTAGAACCAACACAGAGGATTTGTTTGAATAATATGTCTCGCAGCACGCAGTTGCACTTTGTGGATGTGAAGCAAACTGGGGTGACTGACAAACGCTTCAGAAAACGTCCACAGTCGAGTCTTCGCGCAGGTGATGAGATCACTGCCCTCGTTACTCATTCCGTGACTCGATTATTTCCTTCAGTCCAACCCTGGTCCGAATGGTGATTTTGATGCAAGTGATGGCTTAACCGCCCAAACGATCATTGAGTTCTGGACGTTCTTGTGGATTTCCTTGTTCCCACAACACGCGCAGTTTTACGCGGACATGGGTAATCGAATAGTGGGAGGCTTTGGACATCCTTACCTGAAGTAAAACAGGCCTCATGGGCGTACAGAAAAATCTTATATGTGTACCCTTTTGGCGTGATGTTTATGTCTTGATGGCGTTGTAGATTAAGTAATCCATCGGATCACTCCATCAGTTGCACCTTTGTCACTGGAATAACTCCTGAACAGTCGTAGGATTGCTTCTCAAAGCGAGCGGTGAAGCTGGCTACCACCAATCAACTGGCATACTTTGTGGTTGGAAGGAGCAGTATGCTCGCTAATGTACTCAGTCAAGGTCCTAAGATCATCCAAGACATTTTGTACAGTCCTGAGTAAATCGCTGTTGAGTTTCGTGTACTTTCGTGCTATCTGAGTTTCGGGACCGGCACTCCAGCAGTAGCATGTTTTTGTTTACCCACCCTGCTATGTGCAGCAAGTAAGTAGACCTGACTAATGACGCAACGGCATAACAGTATTTTCACTCGTAACATTCACTGTTGTACTCAGGCTGAGATACTGTAAGGGCGTATACACCTACGCGGTGGGGCGATTGGAGTTCTCATTCAAGGCTCTAATGCCTGTCCGAATGCAGCGCATGGGTGCTGACATACTACTAGAGTAGCAAGTCAGTTTATCGGCAATAAACTGCTCAATAAGGGCAGGTTGGTTCCAGCTGTTACGGTCCTGGTCATCGGAAAGTAGGAGGGCGTGGAATATAAAGCCTAGCATTGCAAGCGATGATATCACGTGGTCCTGAAAAACGGCAGCTACACATCGAAGATGGTAATTTTGGTACAGGAAAGCCACAGACTGCGTGATTGAGCCTTGTCTGGTAGTTTAGTTAAAAAACCAATTTATCAGCTGTAAAACATGTACCGTAGGCACATTCGTTCCACCTGCCAGAGAATGGGACAATGTGAGATATACAGCCAAGGCTTAGAGGCGATGGCCTGTTCAGTTGGTTCGGGAATCGGATAGCTACGCATTGAAGGCGATAACTTCGATTCATGAACGCCACTGGTTGCGCGATTCGGTTACTTCTGTTAGCGTCATTAGCCATCGGTACGATGAGTCTCGGGGTCTCCATCTAGGGAGGCGGCAGTTGCCGACCGTGCTAAGTTTACTGGTCGGTGTTTTCGTGCTTGGTTGCCAGGACATACACTGTCTACCTGTCGGTCGCGTCCACTCAGAACAGGGATGGGCGAGAAGCGTCCTGTTAGACAGGCTGCATGCGCAGTACATGTCTCAGCCAGCGTAACGTATGAAGCCTGAGTAACCCATCATGCAAAGACGACTGGGATCTAGTCCAGTAAGGCGCTTTCAGCCTTGGGGCTGAGTGAAACTCACTCACTGTAAATACCACGATCCATTGCGTCAGGATCACCAGATACCCGAAGAGTGAGATGTGGAACATAAGAGCTCGTCCTAAGCGGCTTGAGGAGCATGATCGAACCAGGGCTTTGTTGCGTGTTTCGGAGACACAGTATACATCGACAGAGATGGAAAGCAAAGTCTCAGTAAGGGATGCCTTTTGTCCAATTTGACATAGAGTAGGAAATGAAGGCCGTAATGTGGATCAGATATTTTGAGGTTAGTAAGTGATCATTTTGGTTTATTTTTCTGGACGAAGGTTTAGATGCAGAATGGTGGCTAGGGGATTGATAGACTAATTGATTTCACTGCATTGTACGATGAGATGACGTGTGGGAGAAGAAAGGTGAGCGAATAGCTCTAAGGGCAAATGATAATTCCCGGTTGCCCAGGCCGAATAAGGGGGTTTGTTTGAGGTACCTCACCTTGTGCCTTTGACTCAGACGTCTGACCAACAAGGCAGTGGGACGATGTAGGGGTTTTGTTCGGGGACTCCGCCCCTGGGCCTCTGATACAAGAATCTTGACCGCGAGACAGCCGTTGTTGGAATTTTCTTGGGGATCCTTCCCAGAGCCAGTGAATCAGTAGTTGCAGGGGGTAAGCCTGGCTCGAGGGCGCAGGGAGTAAGGTATTACTATCTCACTCCTAGCGCAGCTGCGTACAGCATGTACCTTTTGAGCAGCACTTGACACTTTAGTTTTGAAAGTATTTCGACCGCATTGAACAATGCTCCTTCGGTCACGGCCATTGGGCGATCGGAGTGTGTGGTTTTCAGGACCGGTCTTTATTAACCCGTTCTCCCGGCAGTATGGCTGCTTCCATAAATATGAACATGCTGATCGCTTAGGGGAGACGGCTTACTACCTCCACATCCCTATCGTGTAGAACAGCACAACTTTACCCCCAGACTTCATCGTAATACCAATACTCATAGTACGGGGGTTCGTTCATCGTCGGGCTGCTCCCCCTGACCTTCTAGCGTGGCTGAACTGAGTTCCAGCCAGTATAGCCCGCAGGATCATTGCAACACACAAGCCCGACCACCACGACAAGGTGACAACTTTAGGTCGGGCTAGTGTCGTTAACCATTGGTGAGTTCACTTCCGGTAATTGTCCACCCAACCGAGTTTACTTGCTAGTTGTCCACCTATCGGCCGTATCTACTCAGCAAAGGGCTGGACGCAAAGGGCTCTGAGAGGCGGGCTGAGTTCATGTAATCAGTTTGACCTATGGATCCTGGGAGAATTCTTTTCTCCTAAAACTATGTGGCGTACCTCAGCGTCACTAATCCGATGTTCCCACCAGACCCGGTAATGCTTGGGGCTGGACGCAAAGGGCTCTGAGAGGCGGGCTGAGTTCATGTAATCAGTTTGACCTATGGATCCTGGGAGAATTCTTTTCTCCTAAAACTATGTGGCGTACCTCAGCGTCACTAATCCGATGTTCCCACCAGACCCGGTTAATGCTTGGGAGACGCTAGTGGTCAAACAATGTCAGCTTTTGTGGTTCCTCAGCGCGGAGAAGCCACATTTCTAATCCATTAAACAGCTTGGGTCGCACTGCCGCAGTATATACTCTACCTTGGCAGTAACTGACATCACAACTGTCCCATAGGCATCAAAATTTGGCAAAGACCATCCTAGTCTCCCCGATTCTAGAAGTAATCTCGTCTCCAGCCAGTTCGCGGGACTCTGTACAACTACCAGGTAAATTTATCAACTGCATCGATTGGTTCGTGTGCAAGCATGACTGAGCCATTCTGCGGTCGCCGTAATTTTGCAATCCCTGACTTACCGACTTACATTGTTCTTGTTCACTTGCCTCCAAAGAATGCCAAATATTTTCTGAAGATACATTTCATAGTTTACCTGTGATCCTAGGTTGGTCATTTTAGACTATTCTTCGTTTGAAATAAAACATTCAGTTGTAACACCGTTCTGGTGCTCAGCTGCCATGCGTTACCCTCGTCTGAAGTGCTCTATCGCTTACTGGATATGCGTGTTCTTAATCGACTTTTGTTTTTTAGTGCTGACCACTTCATGGAAGAAGTAATCAAGGAATTTACAGCATTGCACGATGAGAAAAAACATGACGCAGCTTACAAATTGATTTGTGACGCCATACAAAACCGTGGCATGAATGATCCTGAACTTCACTGGCGCCATGCCATGGCTTGTCGTGATATGGGTATGCTGTTTGTTTTTCCATGTTCTAACAGCTAGCCATGACTGCGGGAAAAACGGATAAGGCTCTGTACAAAAAGTTCGTTAACGAGGGCCTTGAAGCAGCTGAAACCGGATTAAAACAGGATCCTGAGAATCCAAAATGTCATTGTGTAAGAAGATCGGTTATTAGATTTCAACTCATGGTTTACTTAGTGGTCAGCAATACACCTGAACTACACGGCACAGCTGGAAGGAATCAACAAACGAATTGAAAATTCATTCAAAATGAAAGAACATTGGCTGGTTCGTTCTGTTATAGTATGCAAATTCATTTTAAAAGAAAGCTATTCATGCCAATCCGGGTGATTCTGTTACCTTGCACGCTTTGGGGCGATGGTACGTTGTCCATCCATTAATTTGTTAGTTGTGGTTTAGGTGCTTTGAGGTTACGGATTTACCCTGGATCAAACGCAAATTTGCCCAGGCATTTTTCAGTACTCCACCAACTTCCACCTACGAAGAGGTTCGTAGATTGTGATTGGGGTTTGATCATTCCGTCTTTCAGGGTCTGGAGTACCTGTTGGCCTCTGAGAAAGGTGAATATTTTCTTCGGTTTGTGCAAAGTGATTTTCTTTGTAGCCTTCCCGAACCAACTTCCAAACAATGCTCTTTATCTTGCAAAAACATACCAGCGTTTAAAGAAGAATGATTTGGCTAAGGAGTATTGCGAACGTGTGTTGAAGTTTACAGATACTGATTTGGAAACAGAAGAAGTATGCTCATCTTGCTTATATCGGAATATGGCATTTTTCTTTCAGGCCAAGAAGGAAGCCACTGATATGTTGAAGAATCTGTAGTGCTGTGAACTACCTTTTGCTTGATTTCTTGATAATGTTTTGCTAACGAATAGACTCTTTACTTGTCATGTTTTTTTTACTTGCTTGCATTAAATGCCAAACAGTACTTCCGTGTTGAACTTCAGTGGAACGCGAGACAATCACTTGTCCAAGAGTGCTCTTCCTGAGACTTTCGAATCATTTTAATGTGAACAGGATAATAAGTGGTACTTCATCGTTGTCACTGCTTGGCTTTCATTGAAATGCGAAGCTTGTAAATCCATGCGTAGATCACCGGTTTTCTGGTTGTCAGTGACTCGACTTGCGGAAGTGGCTAATCTTTTTAACACATGACAGCTCATCACTATCCCTCCAGCTTTTAGCTCCGATTATTCAATTTTTTCAAGTATATAAAGACCACTGGGTTACAGTTGCAAGGCATATATTTTCGGATTAGTTGTATGCAGACGACTGGTTCTTCCAGCTACGAATAGTAAAAACATCGAACGTCCTTTGGCATAGATTTTTGAAGTAAAAGCCATCAATAGATCCAACGAACCTTTATGAAACCCCGAAATTCTTAAATTTGACACAGTATGAGCTGAAGTACGGTCAGCTCTACTGTACTCCACTGAGTATAATTCAGATTTTGTCTACCGGCGGAATACCAGGTAACTTTTTGAATCATAGCTGTTACTCCACCCGAAGGAAGTACAATGGCCGAGACGACTCCAGGTTATCCATGCCTTGGTGGGCGGAAAAAGGCAGGGCAAGAATTGAACTACGTACCTTTTGGTCAGTGGATGGCGAACAATTATTGGACTCACTTGTATACACTAGTGAATAAGAAAAACCAATGGCTGCGCTCAGTTCGACTTCCGTGAACGTCTTTTAGTGAAATCTCGAACGCAGGATTACTATGTCAGCACACCACTACTGCATACGTGGTGGACATGACCAAACTGTTCGCCTAGTGAATTTCTCGGTGTTAATTATGGTTAACGGAATTGTTGAATTTTCGTCCATTACTTGATATTTACGCATCAGTAGACGTTTTGCTTGGAGAAATACTTAATACTACTGCCGAGCCCAAACACACTGAATTTGATGGCACTTTGAGTTATACGGTGAATTTACTGGATGAAAAAATCCAACATTTCGACAGCTTAAGGTGTCCTTTTTCAAGGAAGAAATGACAGGTTTAGACGTCAGACGACTGTGTTTCCCGTAAGGCTTTCATCTGATCCTTTGATAGCTGAAAGCTACCGGTGGTCGGAGAGTCTCTGGCCTATCAACAGTCATAACTAATAAACTCAGTCGGATTGATATCTCCTTGGATGCGGACATCAGTGCTAGACACACTAACAGACATGGCTCAATCAGCCAACATTCTGCTGTAATAAAGACACCAAGTGTGCGTTTCTCTCCAGTTTCACGGATTTCTCCGCTTATGCTTAGCCGCTCGGCGGAATGGAACGATTTGAAGTCAGATCAGGCATATCAAGATTCGAGGGCTGGATTCATCAGCCCACTTAGTTGAAATACCCAAACATTTGCGGTCTTCAGTGTGCGGGTCAGAATCTGTGGAAATTTTCGCTCATGTACCAATGTGATTAGTGTACAAATCAACTATTCAGTCGGTAGGACTCAGAAAGGGAGAACTGCGTCAACGTTCCGTTGTAAATTAAACCGATCATTCAAGCTTCATCTGAACCTATCCTGGGGCCTTTGAGGTAAGGTAAAAGGATACCACGCCACAGAATTGCCAGAATCCCTTGCTTGACGTGTTTTGACTCAGGTTTTTGTTTCGGTGAGTGCTATTGATTAAACAGCAATTCCCTTCTGGGGCGCAAGCTCCGGGAATAGAACAAAATAGCGCGTGGAGAATCCTCTCTCAAGGAAGTTTAGTCTATGGTAAGCATGTTATCGAAACTGATGTAACTGTCTGCGTTCTTATTTGGGCTCATCAGGAGCTTGTAGGAGTGTCGCGTACTTTAAGTTGAGAGTTTCGGACTGTTTCTCACTGCATCCCCTGTATCCACTTAATGGGTCTTATTGATGAGAAAAATATTTTGCAGTCCAAATCCTTAGCCTCTACATGCACTGGACACATGGTGAGCATCAGTGTCTATCTACACTCTTGTGTCCGAACGGCATGTGTCTGCACTCAGTATTAATCAAGCACATATTGTATTCCATCATTAGTAAAAAGACGCACTATGTATGGTAATAAAGTGACCAGGTAACCTTATCACCCTCCAGTTCTGGAGACCAGGACATTTGAACATATTATTTGTTAGGTCCGCCCGCCACAGGTGGTAAAATTCAGGATACCTATTCTAGATAAGCGGGCGGAACGTGTCCTATTATTTATATAATCGCGGACCTTCAGACATTAAAGTGTATTACGTTGTGCCACTTATGAGAATCAAGACATACTTGGTTCCACGGCATCTAGGGATTAGCAATCACTTTCACTACAGAAGAGACGGTTTGAGGAAGGCTGAGCATGGACCCAAACGCAGAATGCGAAGAAGAGACGTCTTCGAATTGTACTGGGAGTCGTGGCCTGTCACTTACCTGGTGAGCTCCGTACCAGGTGAATTAAGCGGATGCTGCGGCACTTCACGCTTGTACACTCGAGTTTCACAATGATTCACCTTTGCCCAACGGTTGGTGTTTGTCAGTGCCACTAGGAACTTCTTCGTGCGCTTTCCAGATCCACAGATTTCTACGCATACAAAACTGAATCGGATCATTTTATTAATGGCACCATCTGGCAGTAATGTTGATCCAAATGGATAATAAAGCATCTGTCTCTCGAAGCTGGTTGGCATTGTTGAAGTGACTTATTTGAGCAACAACAACTCAGTAACAAGCTGTACGTCATTCGGTCTTTGTGTTTTTGTGCCTGACCTGCCAAGTTGCTGCATCTGTAGGCTAACATTTATTTTCTCACAGATTAACAAACAAACACTACACCAGCTATTTTTATGTGCAACAGCCAGCAATTTAAAACGGCTCAACTTCTCATCGTACCATCAACCTTATGTGAATACCAGCCAATAGTTCGGATGCACTTACTGCTATTTTGAACACTGCATACTGATTCACGATGAATGCACACCTCTAGGAATGGCACAGAATTTCAAGGTTTGTGTGGTATGACAGACATTGTTAGATTCTGCTCATAAGTTCACTTGGTACGCAAATTTTGTTCACACGCTACTTCTCACATTTGGAAGACCTTCAGCTCTGCTTTGTCGTACGGTGGTTATGGATGTCCCACATCTTTTACTCACTGTTTTATTTCTGAATGGTGGATGGAAGTCGTTAGCTAGGTGGTTGATGGCGTGACATCGAATTTTCAGCATGTGTGCTAGCCTAGGATAAGCATGGGTGTCCAGGTAGATGTCGCAGTAGTAAATGTAGCTATTCGTCCTTCAGTTGTCTGTCTAGTTGACGACGATAGATACTAATGGGCATGGGATGAATATTTCTTCCATGCATAGCCACTGTGATTCCTGATACCATGTCAAATATTTAAGCCAACCAGCCGTCCAACTGATCTCGTTATTATCCGACACTTTCCGCAGCATGTACCGACGTGATTAAGGCGCTTATTATATTCGCAAAGAGGACTTGGGGCCAATTTATGTTAGATGGTTTTACATTTTGATTCTATTCGCAAAAGTCATTTGTGCTTCATTCATATGAGGGAGGAAGCAATGTTCTTTGGGCGTCTAGTGTGTTACCGAAGCACATGCCAAACTCTGGTTTACTTTGCTGCTGTTCTCATAGTTATAAATGATTTTATGGAGACAGCTAATCACTCTTTAACTGGATGGAAACTGCTCATAAGTTTGCCTGAAACTCTCCAGTGGAATGTCGTAAGAGATTTCTTAGGGTTGGACCTGTACAACGTGAGGGTGGTTTAGACAAACTGACCCGTGGACGTCTCACAAAGCGAATTCTCCGAGTTTTCTTGGTATATGTCCGGGCTCCACCGGTGCTACATTCTTCGTTTGATAGAAAAGGGATGAAAAAATGAAAATAGCGAGGATGGGATTCATCGGTTGTAGCATGGAGACTTTAAATATTCAGGCAGTCCTCCGAACAGCGGACCAAAGGCTCTTGATGTATCCTGTTGCTGATCTTGTCTCACGGATATCTAACAACAAAGTATGGCTGACGAAGACCAACCCCCACGAAGCAGCTCTCTCGCAAATCAAAATTTGTTGCCCAAGCGTGACCCTCCGCTGGACGTTTTTTCAGCAACTTTTGCACGAGTCGGAAGTTTGGGATACATCAAGTGCTCCACACTAGAACAATGCTTAATTTCTTTGGCTTAACTCAGCATTTGTAGTTGTGATGCATCGCAATCTGGTCACTTATTCGTTATCAAATGCACGCTCTCTAGTTCTTATTGCCACGTGATGTGGCTTCACGGTAACTGGTGAAGTCCGTGACTATACAGACTGGGGCACTGTGATGGCATTCGCACCTAGAGATCAGGGGATTAAAGCCATGAATCAAAGCTTTTGGCTCGAAAGCCTGACCACAGTGCGACAAATCGATTGCATACAACAACAGTAGCACATTTTTAAGAAAGAAAATCGCCATACATGTTCCGGCTACTAACCTGCAGAATCAGGGCGGGGTTCGTCGGACACCTAACTAACGAACCCGGTACATGAAAATCTATGAGACGCAAAGCAAACCCCAATATAACCCGGAAGATCACAGAGGAACAGTCGTACCATGATAAGGACCATGGCCTTGCACCGGACCGCCCGTACGGGTAATGTATATTTCAACTGTTACCTATTCAAAATGGATGCGTTTGAAGATGTGATGGCTTCAACATTCTTGACGTTCATTGATGTAGTTAGTTTGCTCATGTTTGCGCACCACCATGTGTTTTCCTCACTGAAATTCCAGACAAGCAACTATCTATAGTGTATCGTATTGGCTCTGAATGATTGCTAGTACGAGAGGCTGGGGTATATTTGTGCGCTCAA